GAAATTAATTAAAAATTGAATTTGTCACTTAAAATATTGTCTGCACAAAATTTTACCTCCTCTTTGGCAGCTTCTCGAACAACAGCAACAATTTGCTCTTTCCTTTCCGGTGTAAGGTTTTCATCCCATTTCCGGATGTAAACTGCTGCCTTTGATGCTTCCTCACTCCTTCCTTTTTTTATCAACCATCGTGGTGTATCCATTAGAAACCTTAATTTTTCGTTCAAATTATCTCTCAATATTTGGAATAATGCTTCAGTTTTCCAAACTTTTTTTTGCATTTTTTGCTTCATATGTGCTATCAGCAATCTGATTGCCTCAGATATCACTAACTAATCATTTAAAGGCGGTTGTAAAAGAAACATCGGAAATCAAAAGCATGCTTGAAAATGAAAATATTGAAGCAGAAAACGTAAAAAAGCTTACGGTATTGTAATCAGAGGCAGTACTGTAATGGAAGCAGCTACCCATGACAGGATTTTCCATTTCTTACATAAGTATGCGATACCAGCTAAGATGATATAATTTGGTGAATACGTAATAACAGTAGCTACCCACATTCGATGCTTGTCGGGTAAATTTTCCATAAAATAAGGATTGCAAACACTACAAAAGTAGCAAGTCCAGTTGACAAAAAAAAAAAAAAAATTTAACAATTTTAAAATTTGTTTATAGATACAAAGCACTTCAAAAATTTTTGAGAAGCATTTGGGATTAATTTAAACAAATGATGACTTATCGATACTTACCAATGTTTTCCTCCAGTGAAGATCATATCGAAGAAGCGAAAAATGGTGAATATAATGAAGGATGGTGAAAATGGTGTAGCAATAAGAAATATTATTAAACCGACAGTAAATGATAGTAGTATCTAATTTAAAAAAGCGGCTTTAATTTTCGGGGACTCTTCAACTCCTATTTATTTAATTTGTTTTTAAAATTTTAATTTTTAGTAGCAACAAATTTCAATGGTATGCTTTTTGTATCTCTAAAGATAAATAGCTTTTTTGATGCGAATACAATAAACAATAAATTAAAATTTCATCCTACAGTCAGAATATATGAAGCTTATGCTTACTTTCTTTCGGCCAAATATATCAGCAAGATTGCCAGCTACAATGGCACCAACCATTAAACCAATGTTTTGTACAGTTGTACCCAGTTTAACATATTCAACTGGTATATCGAACTAAAATTTAAAGTTCACTGAACAAAGTGAATCGTCGATAATCGTTAAAAATGTAAAACTTATATTAACAGTAAATAGGAGTGAAATATATCTACCCGCTAAATATGCTAGTTTAATAATGAGAGAAGATTGATTTGATGTTAGTGTTTACAAAGTAACAAGGTTGCATTCATTTAAGTGAAATTGATTAACTGTCCAAATTACTAAAAAACCATACATCATAACTTATAGGAATGAAATCATAGGTCCTTGTAGAACATACAACATTACCACTTTGGTTTGTTGTCACCCAACAGTTGCTTACATTGCAGGTCTTTGTTGGCATATAACCCGGGTATTCCTTTTCACAGACATCTTCTACTTTAGGCTTTCGATCTAACGAGAATTTTAAAGCATTAGAGTAATTTAAACAATGATGCAACTTTATAACTATTTTCTATACTTAGAAGCATAATACCGGATTTTAACTCCGTAAGATTAGAATAATGTATTTATTTTTGATTTTTTACTTCTAATTCACTTATGCAAAAATTTCTGCCTCAAAAAAATACCCAATAGTTTGCAAAACAAATCCGTTGCTTTTTTGGAAAGATATTAGTGTAGTTTTTGAAAAAGTATTAATACAGCTAAGTTCTATTTAATCTTGCTTGCAAGATTAAAGTTTACTCTAACGATAACTTTTTGTAGAAATTATAATCACTTTTGCTTTTTGGTATGGATAAAAGAATCAAAGTTAAAATATGATTATAAAAATTAGGTTGTGCAGGTAATATTATTAGAAAGCGAACCGGCAAATGTCATGAACAGCAGGTTGCATACCTGCGATAGGACCATAAAAAAATAAACCAAAGTTAGGTAAATCACATAATTACCACACGTCTGTATATCGGATATCTTGAATTCGGTCTTACTTAATATTTCAAATGATTTCGGTTTTCCTCTTCCTTCTTCAGAATTTTTCAACATCCTCTTAATACAATTAATAGGTGGATATTAGTCGAGAGGAGCAGATAAGACTTATTAACTCATCACTTAGTGCAAAACAAATAAGTCTTAATTAAATGTAACGCAAGTATTTTTATCAAAAATAAATCTTATAATAATCTTACAAAGCAGAAAATAATTTCCCAAAAAAAAAAAACTGAAATTCGTCGAAAAAAAAGTGATAATTAATTCTTTCATTTTAAAATTTGTTATAATTCTTTCTATCACTCTTTTAAAGTCTGTTATCATTTTTTATCCTTTACTTTAAAAGGAAATGGAAGCAAATTTGGGCAGCAACATTCATCTTTAAAATGAAAACCTCTTTATGTTGTTTTTATTTTACCTTTTTGCTTTTGCTTTTAAATATTTTAACTAATTCAAAAACCAACTTAACGGGAACACAAACAATAGGTATCTCGAAACAATGTCTGTAATAATGATTTCAGATAATGAAAAGCTTTCTAAGATTACTATAAAAGTGTAGTAAGTAAAAATCGCACCAACAGCTGCTCAAGTCGTTTCCATTTAAAAGCAATCACAAAATTTGTATAAATACGATTCAGGAAATTTGCATACAATTCATTTGCATATAATTTAATTTCATTTTACGTCTACATAATTCAAGTTTTCCGGAACTATAAATTCACTCACTTTCCGTCATTACTGCAACTTGTGGGCAAATTGATGAGTTATCCTTCCATCGCATCGAGATTGCAAGTGCGATTCGGCTGAAGACTATCAAGGACACCAAGATTAGTTGATGTACGGAAGACAATGTGACAATTAAATACCAAACTACCCTTTGCACATCAGTTACTCTTACTGTTTGCAATAAAAAATGAAGTAGCGATGAAACCGTTCATCTTTCTGTTGTGCGTTGTTCAGTTATTTGTTCAGTTTTCATTTCTTTTGTGATATTTTTTAGAAATTGAATAATAAGAATGAATTCGACTATGATTTCATTAATTTTTTTTTAGATGTCGCAATTTTTCATTAAATTATACTCTTTCTGTACTTAAGATAAGATGGAAGGGTTGACTTCTCCTTTTGTTATTCTTTTTTAATTTTAAATATAACTGAATTCTGCTTTAAATAAGTTCTTTTATTTCAATATTCCTATGAATGCTTGCATTTGATAATTTCATTTTTCACTTGAAATGTCGTACGTAGTAGTCAATATTCTGAACTATGCTGCTTTTTCTAGAAGTTTTTTCCGCTCCTAAATTACTATTCAACATAATTTGAAAATTATGTTTCCTTCTGTAGAAAATTTTGTCCTTTTTGTTACTTATATATTTTCACCAGTTATAATTTATTATTATTATTAATGTTATTATTAATATTATTATTAATATTATTATTATGATTATCAAGCAAATTAATATGGGCTTACTTCATTTTAAAGTGTAATAGTCACAGAATTTTGCTCCTATCTTGAATCTTTAGCATGGAAATTTTGAATGGATAAAGGAGTATGATAATTGCGCTAGTTGCCATTTACTTATTCCTTTCTTTTGTGATCTTACCGCCAAAAAATGAGTCTCGTTTTCATTACTTTAATATGTGAAAATATAAATTGATAGGTTACTCATTTTTTTTGCTTTTGTTAGATCAAAATTGCTGTCTCTTTTATACTTCTTCTTGAAAAGATTTTTTTGAAAAATTTCGTATTTACTTTTTGTTTCATGTTTACTGCGTGTAATGTTACTTAATGTTCAAATGATTTTTCTGGTGATTAATTATGAAATGAAGAAGAAGGGTTATATGTTTTACATTAAGTAGTTTATGGGATTTCAAATATTGGGATTATTCCCAGATAATGTTATAATAACATTGTTAGCATAACATATTTATCAAAATAAACGAAATGTTTAACTTCATATCAAAGTTTGCTATGATATTTGCAGTAGCATTTGTGACTTCGTTAAAAAAACGCATTTATTTGGTTCTTCTAGGAAAACAAACTCAGACATTATCCTCTTAGATCGATTTCGAAAAATGTTTTAAAATAAAAATTATTGTCCTTCCTCGTAATCCTCTGTTTACATTCGAACTAAAATGCGGAATTGCTAGGAAAAAGCCTAATTAATTAGTCTCCTATTCGACAAAACTCTTGTCCGTTAAAACAGTCCCATTTTTTCTTTGCATTGTATAATTAGATTAAAAGAAAACTCAACCAAATTACCTTTTTACTCTTTGAATCACTTCACTAGCATCCCACCACTTCTCTTTTACGAATTACGAGTTTCACGAATAACATCTCCAAGGCTTTTGTCTCGTATATATAAAACAGGATCATAGTTTTCATTCAGACCCATAGAGTCACCCAAACTCCGTCATTGTTATCTAATACGACAAAGTGAATTTTAGCAGTCCATACACAAACCCGCGTGGTCTGCTAGGTATTGCATGACTTCAGTTGGGTCACTGCGAACCTTCTTATCCTAGACAATATTTTGCCCGCTATCCCGCAACTCTAAAAGAATAAGTTCTTTGATTTTTGACAAATATCAGTGCTTGTGACTTTCGGCATTATCCATCAAAAACCGTTTCCTGACCGAGATGAAGTGTTACTGTTATTACGTTAAAAAATCGAAATCAAATTTCCTGTCAGTAACAATAGTAGTAATTGTACTAATAATCAATAATGGTAATAATAACAAGAATTCTTTGAAAATAAATATCATATACCTGATTCGGTCTAGTTTTAAAATTTATTTAATTTTACTGAAGTCATTTGAGCGTCCGTTTGCTTAGTTCATTTGTTTATTCAGATAGAACAGAAAAGGAAAAAAAGAACGTATTCATCAGCATACTATTTCACTTTTTAACTATGAATATTAAATACTTTCATGGTTATAATATCAGGTAGCTTGTAAACAGTTGAGACAATAAAAATAACGCTAATCAAAACAACTATAACTATGACAACACACTGTTTACCCCAATTGGTCCAACAGAAGGAACAACATGCTTTAGCTCTCGAAAGGCACCAGAACTGATCCAAACGATGACGATTCGGGTGCGGAAGATATGGTGACTAAAAAAAAATATACATGAGGTTTAATGTAATTTTGTTATATGATCACAATCTAAGAATGATAGATAGGTTTGAATATTAATATGTTGTAGTATTCAAAAGGACTATAATATTTTTTCTTGTTAACTGAATAAAAGAACTTCTAGGAATTTTTAACTGATAACTGAAGTAGTTAGGGCTGTTTATAAGATAGTTTCGTCAAAAATCCATTTATGCAGACTTAAAAAAGGAAAATAAAAGAAGGTGAATGAACATTATATGATCAAACATTAACAAAAGCTTACATGATTTGGTTTTCCACGCTTCTTTCCCACAGGGTCAAGTTTTGCTTCTTCGGATGTTAGTAGTGTCAGTTCCAATTCTACCGCGCCAGTCACATATGGTTTTTGGGCAGTGAAGTCGTCATCTTTTTTCATCTTTGTATCAAAATCTAATTTCTGTAAAGAAGCTGAAAGTAGTAGAATTCATTTAATACACGAATAATTATTGTGCATAAAAATGAACCAGAATAACGAAAAGAAAAAGCAATAACCTGCTCATCAGGTAGAGAAATACTGACGCAGGGCCACCATCCATAAGTTGTACGCTGTTGAAATAATGAAAATTGACCAACTCTTCCTGATATGTACGGCTGCAATTTAAAAAAGTACTTTTTCATCCAAAATGCAGATGCCTTTCTTGAGAATAAGTTCTGTAAAAAACATTCAGGAGATACTAGAAAAAGCAGGCATACCGGTGCTCGTGGTAAAGGGATATTCTTTTTTCTCTCTTTTCTTTTGCTATTGCAACGACAAAAACAGCGCTTTACGCAACAATTACACCGATTCCGATTTTCGCAAGCATAATCAACATTGTACATTTCATCGGCATCCATTTGTGCTTCTAAATTAAGTTTGTTTATCGACCATTCGTTTAGACATTTACAAAAATAAATGTGCCATACTCTCTGATTCATTCTGATTCTGCTTCGATATTTTGCAGTTAATTTATATGGAAGAAATGAACCATTCTCAAATCATAGTTTTTTCCTGTTTTTCTATCATTTTCAGATATTTTCTTTACAAACATATTTCCAAGAAGACTACTCGTCCGATAAAAAACTTTGTAATTTAAAATCTAAACTTCGTTTCGCATTTAAATACGTTAAGACGTATATTCAGAGATTATGTCTTCTTTTAAATCCGTTTCGACTGTAACAAATACAAAATGATACCATCAAAAGATAGTAAGTCTAGGGCAAGTTGCCCGATGTAGCCATCTTTCCGAAATTTGTTGTTGTCCCAGATTTGAACAAACAGTATTGGATCTACCAACAATGACGATTTCTTGCTGAGATTTGTAAAGCAAAAATAAGAAATTGGAGAACTACAAAAAGTGCTTTTATGAGAACATTAGTTCGTGAAAAGACAGAAGTTGAAAAATGAATTTTCTTTAAAAAAAGAAACCCAAAGAGATGTTTTTTGGTGTACATCGCGATTTTCTTCTCCCAAATATCAAAATCAAAATCGAACACGAAACGCCAGTTGAATGAGCCATATCCATCAAGACTTCGATAATGAACATCGGTCTTCTCTTTTTTCTCACTTCCGTTCAAAAAAACCTTCAAATAGATATCTGCTGCCTGAAATAAAATCAAGCACAATATTATAGGAATCAGTAAGCATTTCTTTACATATTCACTTAGAGAACGTTTTAAAAAACTATGCTAGAGCGACAGCCAAAATTCCCCACACTCTTTTGGATTATCGCTTAAACAAAGTGTATGTACCGGTTTTCCCATTGTTCTCTTGGTAAGAATTACGTTACGAACACTCCAAACCGCCACACGCAGCTGAAATTTGTGAGGCCTGCGAGGTGATATATTCACGGGTGGAGGTATTGATCCCATTGCATGTGGGAACAAATCGACAAACATTTCCAATTTACCACATTCGCTATCAGCATTGATGGCATTGTAGAGTGGTCGAGTTTCCACATGTTCTGGTACCAAATTCATCTGAACAAGTGATATTCGATTAGTTTTTATCTAATCAAATTTATAGCATCCAAACTTTTTGATGAAAAACAAGCCTTAATCAAAATATAAAGCGCTACTCGTTGCAACGGTCGACCTAAAATCTCTGCATGATTTGGAGGAACACTTTCAATATCACTAAGCCACACAGCCACTCCAGCAATCATAATCCCAACATCATTTCCTTTCATTAGCAGTTCTGGTGCGGGATAATTCATCCTCATACAATGTCTGAATAATTAAATAATACATATTCTTCACTGGAACATATTTTTTATTGTTTAAAAAAATGATGTGCGAATGCCAAAAAAGAGCTAAAAACGGTACGTGAAGTCTTATACTTAAAAAATTGATTGAAATATTTAGATTTATAGGACGTAATATATCAACTATTAATTTAAGTTAATGAAATACTGAATCACTGTTTACCAGGCCTATATTATTTCAGGATTTACTCATACAATGGACTTGCAATGTAGCAATTCTTTAAAGGTTTTAAAGTTGAGTGTAAGTTAAGTTATAACTTACCGTTTTAATATGTTAAGAGGCGTAAGCTGGTCACGCCAAACGAGTGGTCCCCGTGTTATATACTGCTGCGGTAAGCCAACGGTGGCTCGAAACTGTGTCAAAAGACGATTTTCCAAGTCAATCACAGTATGACCGATTTCATTATCTGCAATAAATCTTGTAGCAATACTCCCTCTTTTTATACTTGAAGTTCCATATTTTTTTTCTGAGTTTCTGGAACATTTCGCCTAATCTTCTTAATTTAAGTTCTATCACGCAACTTTCAGGAGATGAATAGAGAAAACAGAAAGAAATGAATTCTATGCAAGAATTAATTATTCACATACCAGAAAAAACACGCTGACGATCCATGACTGATACCACAAGTTTTTTATCGATTGGTATTTCTACTTCCATCTCAATCATTTGGCCAAACAAGGGATCCAATGAACCTGGCCGGTAGTCTTTTCGTAAATTTTTCTTTTTCTTTGTTCCACATCTGTATCTTTCCAAAGTAATACTTGATATTCCATAAAAGATACAGTAATTCTTTTCAAAGAACTTCAGAAAAGTTAAAAAAAACCAGCAGTTCCCAAGCTAATCATGAAATCTGAGATTAATTAATCTGATTCATCATGTCACCTGAAATTTCCATCCAGAGAAAACTCATTATAATTATTTATCTTTAATTTTTTATAAAATTAGTAAATTACTAACTTTAATAGCCTTTTTAAATACATGAAAAAAAAATGACTTCACACTAATGTAAGCATCGCAGGTGCCATCCTTCCGTCTGCTGACCAAATCGAAAGCTCTCACAATATATACACGAATAGTGCATTTGGTCACTCCAGCAAATTCTACGATGGGCAGAGCAAAACATTCTAAAAAGCAATATCCATTAATTAAAGAAAACGAAATCAGCTTTCCAAGCTAGGAATTCTGTGAAAAAAACGAAAATAAAACCATTTGAGATTCTGTTCTGTCTTCTGATGAAAATTCGAGCTTTGAGTTCACCGCGTGGTATCATTAGTTCTGGTATTTCGATATTTTCTTTGGTCATCTTCCGAAAGATAAATGTGTCAAGAAAGTCAGAAAACCCACAATATTCACTCACATCTTCAAGAGGGCACGCAAACACTCGTAACGTTTCTATTCCAGAACTAAAAAGAGGGAATATTACGTATGAAAATACAATAAGTACGATTTCTTTAATCTCATTATCAAAGCTATCTTCAAAAAAGAATTTTTCTAATTTCAGAAATTTCAAGCTAGCAAACTACTCGGAATATCCTGGAGCTTTTTCGCTTTCACCAATTGAACTATAGTATTTACTCCACCAGTCAATGATGCAATCACCAAAGAAACATTCTTCAGAATCCGTCATTCTCACTCCTTTTTCATAAGCTTCCTCGAAAGACAGCATTTCGTCATACTTTTCCCAACTATAAATATCCCGTTTTCTACCCTGAAATATCTCAAAAATTAAAATTTTATGTTACACACGACAATATCAAATAGTTGTGCTAATCCATATATTCATTATTAACAACAGTCATTATAACAGTTTATTACAAAAATAAGAACGCGGACCTCTGGTAACTTGTTAATATATTTAGCGAAATCATGAACGACGCAAATTCCAATGTGTGGTTCACGTCCAAATGAACGCCTATCATATAGATTGAAAGTTAACGGTGGTGCGTAATAGAAATGAACAGGAAGTTGGACTTCATTCAAAATTATTAGTGGTCGTTTGAAGTTTGGATTACGTTTCGCATCTTCGATCACGTCACTTCGGGCTGTCTTATCGCCAATTCGAATTTCCACAAATGGATTACGCACAAATGACAACTGCAAAAAACACTGAGTTAAGAGGCAAATAACAGAACAGTCTGCTTCCTCTATGACCAGTCGAAAACTTAACCAATGCCCGCTATTCATTTTGAAAGAACAAATTTGTTGGTCGACAAACGTTCGCACAAAAGACAACGTCTGTGAAATGTCACATAGTTTGGTTGTAATTTAGAGTCTTGTGAAATGAACAATGAGTAAGATTATATTTACTTCTATCAGCCAAAAAACGCTTCCAAAGCAATCTGAATAAAATGCTTTTTTTAAAAATAAAGTTAATGAAACAACGATTTGTGGTTTTTTTGTAGTTCAGCAACCTACCTGATACCGAGGTAAATCCCGAACACCCCAACACAAAATTTGCACTGTATAGTTTTTGACAATTGGACAAACACCTCGTGGTACTGAATAACGAGTACTTTGTTTTTTACGTGGCGGTTTCAATGGTGTAATGTGTATTGCCTGTCCCTCGTACAGAAATAATTCAAATAATGCTAATAAAGCGCCTCTGGAAATGTATGTTTTTTAAGATAGCTTTATCTAATTTAATGAAATTGAAGTCAGAAAATTACAATTCATAGAAAAATTAAAGCTTCTGTTCTGACATACTTCTGCCTATTCTTGCGGAATGATAGCGGAAACCAATTGGGTGTTCCACGATGATCAGTTGCAAGCGATATAACTGAGGGTGTTGCCATAAAACGTCCAAGAAATATTTCAGAAGAATGAAAATCTTCCGAACTTACTTCCACTACTATTGCTGGCGGATCTTTACGGACGGATGCTATCCCACCACATATTATTACCTAGAAAGGAAAGATGTTGACCATTACAACTATGACGAATACATCTGAATATTGACTCAGGCATACTTTCAAATAATCAATTTTTCTCATGAAAACGCACTCGCTTGAAAATAAGCGTTTCATTCCAGATCGGATCAATAGTATTTTCAACGATTGCTGTTTCTTGACATCGATTAAGAAATATAACTCTAACAAATGCTTTCGACCCAAGACGATTTGTCGGTAGCAAATCCCTGGCCCATAAAATTGATGCACGCATTTGCCAACGTGTTGCATGATCATAAACCTGAAACTTTCTTTATTGGCAAATTTCTTACTTTGTAATGTTTAAAACATTTTCTTCTTACTTCATAAATTCGAGGTGAAACTGAAACATCTTCAGCCAAATAAAGAGCCAGTCTTCTTCTGAAAATTTATCGATATTATGTAAAATAATATCGACAATCTTCTATTTGTCCTTCTGAAGCAATGGAAATGAGTTTTCTACACATAACATTAATAAATGTAAACCTCTGGCTAAGATTAGCCGAGAATACCATTTCACGGACATATCGCCTACGGCGGTACTTGTCATCAGGCATCTTTTGCACATGTACTGGTTCACGGAAATCACTCGCATACTATAAAGGAAATACCATCAGTGGATGTGCCTGATAAAAACAAATTATATTTATGAAAAAGACATAACCTCCCATAATTCAGGATCAATACTTCTTCGTAAAGCATCAATATTTTCAAAAATATCTTTTGTGCCTGTCCCGAGAGTCCTCATACGCCACCAACGTCGACGTCGAAATTTATGTCCTTCTCTGAAGGAGTTCATTTAGTCATTTTAATCCTTTGCTAATCCAGTTACTCACTGGATTTGAATAAATTACGAGATTATGAAAACTAACTATTTAATAAGTCACAAAAGTAAATTCATTAACCTCTCTCTGTAGTCAATAACAGCGTCGTCATTAGCAAAATTAACTGCACTCGAAGAGTAAGACCATCCTTCAGCATCACCTGCACAAAATAGATCAATCGTCCAATCACCAATCCATCGCCATCCTTAAAATTAAATTAATCTCCAATACCAAATCTGTTAAATTTATCACAGATTTTTTTTCCCTGCCAGTTCAAGTTGAGTGAAATTAAGTGTCAAAGCAATATTTATTTGCTGAGTAAAAAAATATTTGTTATCACACGCAAAATTATCACCTGGAGGAGCGTTTCGATCACGAGCATTATCAATACGGTTACCAGATGCACCTATATAATACAAATCAGTCCAAATATCATCTTGCTTTTCCTGCACTTCAAAAATTTCATCCTCATATTGTGAATAACCGGCATCGGGTCCAACCCACATATCATGACAGAACATTATTTTCCATGCTCCCTTAAATTATTAATGAGTGGTTATTATTGCGTTTTAACCAAATTTAGTAAAAGATATTCGGCTTGTCAATATTTTAAAATTTTTGCCTTATAAGACCATCCGTTAGACACTTTTATATCGTTTTCAGACATCCGAATAATTCCCGTTTCATCCGATCGAGCGTAGGGTTCACCACTAAAATCATTCTGCTGAGAGATTATTCTTTTTGCTTTTATTGGCAAAAAAGTTCCTTTCCAGCATTTCAGTACCATCAAACTATATTTACATAAATTTCAATAAATCGAACTTTTTCCCGTCAGTTTCCATCCACTGACCACTTATATGCCTTCGTTGATTTTCGAAAACTTCTGCAAAATATTGAACTACTCCAGGCTTAATTGCTTTATCCCAATTGCTGCGATCCGTTACTTTTCCAAACCACAGGCGAAGATGAACAACGGCTGGTATTTGCTCCTTTTTTTCCCGCTTCTCATCATGGCTTGGCCACTTTAGTATTATTGCTCGCAGACGTCCACAAAACATTCCCCGATAGCAGTCTTTGTTGTGATAATAAACCTAAACATAGACCTGCTCTATGTCCTTGAATAATCAGTCTTAAGAATAACTGGCCAGTGTAATAAGTGAGACTCGCAACAGAATGAAATAATTTTAGATAAAATGAAATTTGCTACCGCCTTTTTTCTATCTCAGCTAACTTTATCAAAGTACGAATATAACTTCTCTACGAACGAGATAACTTAATTTGAATAAAATCAGAATTACTTCATTAACAGGAATTCGCGCGAATGCAAGTAATTCGTCGCCATCGCACATTGAAAGTATTGCATCCGGAATTGACATCTCTGGCTCATTTGAAATTTTCATTAAAAGTTCAGCGGTCTGCCGCAGATCGTTCAAAGCAATCTGGGAATTTAGACAGAACTAATTAATATTTTTATATCGTTCGATTAAAATAGAAATTATAGCTAGGAGTAACATAGAGTACAGTTCCCCAAACTGCCATTTAATCATCAAATTGCCCTCTTTGATTGCAGTAATAATGAATAGATATTGACTTCATTGATTTGAAACACGTCTTTTTTATCATATTTCAGTGTGGCAAAATCTTCGATCATTTTGACAACGGATGAGATAATAACAAGACGACGATGTCGATCAAGCGATGATGATAACGGTGATTCCCAGTCTTGTTCAATGCTGTAAGCAGAAATCTCTTTTTAACATTTAAATGATTGGCTGTAACTATTAATTTCAGTAACAAACGGAATTAAACCAAAAGTATTCAATGTTTCATTTATAGAGACAAACCATTTGCTTAATTTAGCAAAATAATCGCAAGCCTGTTCAATAGCATCAACAATAATTGAAGAAGCTTCTCTTTTACCATCAGATTTCAACTTTGCCAAACTGGAAGAGTGCAACAGCATCTTGGCTATCTAAACATAGTTGAACATGTAACATCCAACGATACAGCAGATGATGACAAAACAAAATCAAACTATCGTACCTTCTGCAAAACATTGGAGTGTCTCATTCGAAACGAAACATCCTCCCATGCACAAGGGATTTCACAAACAGGCTTGTGATTTCCCCATGGCATAGCATAGTACCTCTCAGCAAAGGCTGGCATAACCTTAACAATAAGTAACTTTTTATTACTCCGAAGTTCTCTAATGTGCTATTTTAATGTCAGAGTTTCACTTAACATTAAAATATCCATAAAAAGTTCTAAAATCTTCGATATGACAAACAATATAGAAATAGATATAGAAATATAAATAATAGAAAAAAGTTACCGAAAGTGTACGTGCCGTACATTTTGGTACCTTTCCGTAAGCTCGATTGCCGTATTCTCCTATACTCAACGAAAAACGCACATTTTTGGATCTGTTGAGGCAAAAGTCAGAAATTTCTCATCAAATGACAAATTCATATTGGAAAAATTAAGTAAAAAAATTCATCGAGAAACTTACTTAAGTTTAGGATGAATCATATTTACAGCAAAAAATGTAGACAATAATACATATTCTGATGTACGTAGTTGTGGTTTCAACGATAACACAACATCAGGAGTTACCAAATCACGACAAATTTGGCCACAGTTTTCCTCCAAACATATCACTTCAATAAGCGCACGAGCAACAAAACTGCAATTTGATATTTTATTTTTTGTCCCAAGCAAATAGGAAATTTGTTAACAAGAACGAATTAATTAATACCAGTCGCCTGGTCGTCTTCCTTCTCGTATTGCTTTCTCTACTTTTCTCGATATTTCTTGTTCAGTTGAAGCATAAAAGCTTATATACGATGGACCAAATACTGGCAGAAAACTATAAAATGTGGCATGATAAAGAAATTACCATTTAGTTTATTCCTGGTTATTATTTTTGGTACTTAGTCTTGAATATAAAAATGAACCCTTGATTATCAGAAGTAGATTGACCGTTTGCTATTGCATTCACATATCCCGATTGACAGATATCAGATAAATTTAAGTGGGCAGTAGCCAGTATTTTCTCCGCATTCTTTTTGCGAATTTTTGTCTGATAAACGAGGATAATACGAAATGATATCTAAAATAAATTTTTTGTTGTGACTCAAGCAAAATTTGCAAAATAGTTTGTGACATGTTTGCACTTTTTCAGTCTTCAAGAACTTATTCCATAACAAAAGTAATATTTCACCCTTATTTTTTCCTTCAGGTGTTTAATTTGAAAAAATGACTAACGAACATATTTAACAACGGTTGGCCAAACCACGGGAAGCATGATTTCCTCGTTAAAATCAACCACTTCATAAAGAGCTGGCAAAACGTGTGTCATTTCACGTTCTTTTCCAATCTAAAAAATTCAATTCATAATTTTTTTTCAAATCAAAAATATACACTTTATTTTTGAAAGGTAACTCTGTACACCTGTACTTGGACAGCGAGCTTCGCAACATCATTGTTGTGTATTCGCAAATGATCAGCTATTTGGCACAATTGAAAAATTCTTACCTGGAAATGAATAACTCTAACGTTCTACTCATTGAGCTTAAATTTAATTATAAATGCACTATTTAATGTCTGAAACATTTTTGTCTTATTAAGTCACATTCTTTCCTACGTTTCTATAATTTTCAACTACATAATTACCAGCATGGTATACTGCATTAATGAACCGGAGAACAAAATGTCCTCGTCGTCATGTGTCACCATACTGCGTAACGATGGTGCCGGTGTTGGATCAAGGCTTCGACGTACATTTATTGATACCTTTTAAACACATAATGAATGAATTTTAATGTCGAGCAAATTAAAGAAAATATTAAAAGTTATGTAGGAATTTAACAGAGATTATGACATTTATTGTTCAGTAGGTCTTTAATCTTTTTAAAAAGAGAAGAATTGAATTAAATGTTGACCAGAAAACTCCATGGCACTTTACAATATTTTTTGCATGGATTTCCAAAAATTAATACTTCAAATTGAAATTTAGAACCTTCAGAAAGCCACGTATATCGGAAGAAGCAATTTGATCAGTTTCTCCAGTTGCTTCAATCTCTTGATAGTCAGCTCTTAAAACAAGCCATTTTTCTTGAAGCAAGTGTCGTTCTGATTTGTAAATGTATCCTAGCTCGCATTGAAATCCTCCGATCAATGTGTCACGTGCAAGTTGTCGAGCATTGTAAACCTATCCCAAAATTTTGGATTAATAATTTTATAGATTTAATTAGAGTAACCATAGAGGTAAAACGTATGGATATATGTTTTTTAATTGTTTTATCATCAGTATGAAAGAGATATTTTCATATATTCTGAAAAATGGGAATGCGACATGTAAATGGTCGATCATAATGAACTTCTCCTTTTGTTTGGCTTTAGGAGAAGGCATATAATACATCACAAACGGTTTTTCTTTATCAGATCTTGAAATACAGAAAACTACAAAAGAGCTGATACAAACTCTGAATTCCAAACATGTTCGCATCATATCTTGAAGAGACTTTTGGACCGTGAAAGAGAGAGAGTCATTCCAACGTGGTGAATTTGTATTATGTTGTGATAGACTAGAACGACAACGACCATCTAAGATCACGCGGAGCAAAGGATTTAAATTATTTCCATAAAGTTCACGGGCTTCAAATATATATAGTCGTACCTGAAATAAAATTTGTCTTTTTTCAGTCATTGAAGTTAATAGGACTTCTTTCGAGATAATCTTACAATTCTGGAAAGTTCAGTCAATTCTGAAAAAGCTAAAAAAGAATAAAGGTTTGAAGCTTACAGTGAAAGACTGCAACACATCAACATCTTCCTTCTCATCTTCCATCTCAGTCATTTGTTGAACAACAGCAACTCTTCGTTTCTTACGCAATGCAATAGTGTGACGCGAATTATCCGTTGAATTGGTTGTTTCGGATACCTTATAAGATCATGAAAAGCATATAGAAATACATGTACTGCAACCTCAATACTGGTTTTCACTTTTCTGATTTTTTTAATCTAGCTTTTAGTAAGTTTATAATTTTTGAATCATCTTTATAAATATGTCTGGCGCTTGCTTGAAAGGCCAAAAAATAATAATAATAAAGCCGACTTTACATATGAAGTTAGAGACTTGTATAACATGTAAGCACATATAAAGACTGACCAGCTCTTGATCCGACGAAACTGCATCCGTGGTTTGCATCGGTGTTTCGGTGAATTCACTTTCAGCTAGCTCAGTTTTAATGTCCTTCGATTTGCTGTTTTCATTATATTCTGTTGATTGTGATGATGATGATATTGACCGATCACGTGAAATACGTGACTTTATATGTCGACTAACTTCCCGAAGTTTTGATAATATTCGTCCACGGCCTCCTTTTTTCTTTATTTTTTCCACACCTTTTAAGTTTGCAGCTTCATCGTAATCACCTTCTTCGCTACTCATGTTTCGTTCTTCACGCAACTATATATTAGTATTAATCATTTATTGATAGTTTTAAAGGTTAGCATGAAACATTTCTAAGATATAAAAATGTTGCGATGTCATTCAGTTGAAGAAAGGATAAATGGTACGAAGCAGACAGATAGGAACTGAGAAATTGTAAGCAAGTGTTAAGCAAATGAAGAAGATATTACTAGATAGGCAGTTAAAGTTACTTTCCAAAGTTCATTTTCTCCTAGCAGATTCCTTTTCAACTTCTTCATTTGCTTATTTAGAAATCATTCCGTTATCGTATTTTTTCGTTTCTTGGACACTCATAAAATCAACATTTTCCAGCACTAATAAACCCTAAATTTTAATTTTGGCCTTAATAAAAATTTATTTGCAAGTTGCTATTATGTATAACAAAGATAGAAAAGTTACATTTCTTCAAATTAGCGTGTGAATGAAGCAGACTGAACTTTCATGAAATGAAAATAGGCTTACAAATAAAGAAATCGATTTTTAAAATCTTTTGAAAATAAAATATCAAAGCACAGTAGTTGATAATAAGGCTGGTATATTACAATTATTCATTAATGATAGATAAAGAAGCTATTTATATAAAACTAATCTAAAATATTGAAAAAATAACAATCAAAATGGATCAGTCGTAGAATCGTTTGACAATAAAACGTCTTAATGACTAGACTTGCGGACAAAAAAGATTTAGAATAAATCGAACTGAAAGAGGAAACGACCAAATGATGGTTTAGGTATAAAAAAAATTCTACTTTCAAAAAATTTCCATATTCAAATTTTCAGAAATTCATTGATTTTCATTATGGAATTGTTATCAGTTCAAACTGAAAAGAAAATTTTCATAATTTTTTAACATTCTTTCCACCTTTTACAGCCAAAATAACAATTTTTCAGATAAAAATTACGAAAATTTTTATTTTTTTCATTGATTTTATTTATTTAAATAATTCCAAATTGCAATGGATCATCCTTAATGAGAGATTTCAATGACAAATTGAAAAAAGAAGTTTTCATTTAAATTTTGTTTGTTTTGAAAATTTAGAAGGGATATTAAATGAAGCATTACTATCACTTAAGTGATTGTTCATAATATTGTTTTTAAAAGACTGTATTGCATGTGAGGCGGAAAATTCCAAAAGTACATATTACGCTGGATTTTACATATTGCAGTATTATTAGCATTGGTAAGCAAGAAGGATTAAAGAATGCCGAGCGCAAATTGCATTATTGCAAGAGTATGCAGAACTGCTGCATCAGCTGGATTATACGAACTGCAGATTGTCGGCACATTTACAGCAGTAATGGGTAATAAAAGAGACTGGGGTCTCAGTGGTATCGGATATACTAAGCCATTAGATGAAACTGCATCTGATTTTTTAGATTCATCGAAAGTTGCCACCGATATATTCGTTTCAGCCGAAAGTTCGGATCTCGCTGTCAACAGCTGAATATTAATCAGTGATTAATCAGACGTATTCCCATTTAAGAATAGTTTGTAAATCTTTGAAACTACAACAATTTTATGCATATTCAATAAGTCTTTGGTTAAAATTGACTAAATCCGGAAGGCTTTATCGGATTAAGGTTCATATAATTAATTTAAAATTGGAAAGTCCACTTTGAAAAAAATCAATTTGAAATTGAAAGAAAAAATCAATTGAAAAAGTTTTCCTACATAATAGCTCTCATCAATATTTTGAACAAACAAATTACTTCACTGAGAATAATTATTAACTTTTACTAAATAATTAGCTCACCGTATAAGATGACAAGTCCATCTCAGGAATGGGAATAGGTATTTCAGCGAAATCTTGGTCATAAATTTGTTTTACCAACTTCTTGTCCAGATTAGTAAATATCGATAGCATATTTGAATTAGTGAATGAATTCACTGATATTGGCACATCTACGAATCCCAAATGAATGAATGATTAATCTCTCCCTCTCTCCCTCTCCCTCTCTCTCTCGTTATATATATATATATATAATCGAAAAGATTCCAAGCTACACATATTACTAAAAGAATTTTGTTTTTTCTAACTAAGCAGCAATTGAACACCATGTAATTGCACAGTAAATCAGACTAACTCCTTTCAATGATATCAGATTAATCTTCACAATATTTTAAAACAATCGTGAAATTGAATGAACAAAGTGTTGCTTACGAGTTTTTCGTTCTTTTTTGTGTTCGTTAGATCTAAGTTTTGAGGCTTTCAAAATTTGATCTAATTTTCGCCTCTTTTCGATCAATTCACATTGATCACACGCACAATTAGCATATAAACAATGTCTCTTGTGTTCCTAAATTCATCTTTTATTCAGCACATTCATTGTCTCTACAAGAATTTAAAAAATTATCATTCGAAACACAATTTCAAGTTCAATTTATTCAGAAATTTATCTGGAAACCTATAAAATCTAAAAAGTTTTGCAAATCATTAAATATCATACTTTTTTCCAAACCAAAACACCATGATTTTTGCATTTTTGACAAATGTAGCATTGATTTTGGGTTGCGGTACTTGTTTTAGTTACTTTTCTAAAGTGGTATGTCTGAAATATCTTAAGAATAGACTAAAATTAATAAGTGATATAGTCGAAGAATTTTTCTTTGTTATCATAATTCGTTTTACTTGAATAGAAAATCTTTATTTCCAAATACTGATAAAATCACTTTCATAACTTGGAGAAGAACGGTCAATCAAAAATCTAATTGCCCAAAAAAAGGAATTTAAAGGCGAAGAATCATTTACTTTAAAACATTGAAATTCAGTTTTTAATTTTTCAAACTCGTATAGAATCAGTTGTTTGCACTACTGATTCACTACGCAAGTAAACTTACTGCCGGATCATTTTCATTAAAATAATTTTGAGGAGTAATAGTTGCTTGAGTTAGTTGCGAAGTACGCTGAAATATTTTATCTTGCGCACGGCGTATACGGATCTGCGTGCTCATAATTTGCCGACGTTGACGTATCAGTAAGCACTGCAACACGTAGATGAATAGTTGTTTTTATGTTGATATAAATCATAAATTGCCTAAATTTCATGCTGAGTAAAATTAATTCTTTATTTTCAGCTTATATAAAAGTGTTTTTATTTTTTATTTATTCAAAAAAAAAAGGAGTTAAGCCGTAGTGAATTCGAGAGTAATTTTTAAAAGTCCAACTGATCCTGGCTACTCAAAGTCGGTTATTGCGTTTTTATGTCTTACTTTTGAGCAGTTACAGTTCTTCCGATTGCAGTGATGGCCACGTGTTTCCACTAGCATTCCGTGCTGTCGACAAATTCCGCAATGGCGTTTCACATCTAAATCGTTTTCCTTTTTATTTTACATCATTATTTTCTGGGATATGTCCACTCGAAGTTATAACTTAACTTTCACTTCCAAAAATATATAAACAACTTAAAAGTTACGAAATGGTTATTATACGAACTGTCGGAAATTCTATTAAAATTACACTAACCTTTGGGCATTTTTTTACTTATGGCAAAATAGCGCTTACAGTTCTCTTCTTTAGACATTTCCTATAAACTGGGCATACATTAAAAACCCAAAAACTAGTTTATTGTTTTAGTTGTAGTGGCTAACATTAAAAATAAACCATTTCCTTTGATTCTAATTAGAATCAAAGGTAAACGGATTGAAAGATGAAAAAAAGAAACACACAGCAAAACAATTTCAATTCGCAACGTAAAAATGCAAGAAAACTCCCAAAAGATGTGTCCAAATAAACTCAATCAAAATTATGCCTTAAGTAGTTAAATTTAAAAATAATAATGTCACAGCACAAAGAAAGTACGTTGAAATGCTGTTGGATAAAAGTTTAAACAGCGAATTCTCTCGTTTGTCTCTTTGTATATTTAATTTCCGACCAAAAAGGTCTGCTTGCCTATTCATATTACAATTGAGCTAAAGTATCGCTGTTTCTTGGTGGTCCTAAACTTTAAGGCGCACTTTATTTGATGCCCTTTTGATTCAAAATTTTCAATCTCTTCTATTCACTTCTTACAGTATGCCCTCCGTACTAGCAATACATTTTCCATTCCTGTCAATCAGTTTTCGAAATGTTTTTTTGTTGGATCAAAGCTAGTCTAAAATGGCTTTTCAACAGTGGAAAGATCACAGTAGAAGACAATAAGTTAAGTTCATTTCTATTAAACATATTTTAAATGCATTCTAACTTCTTTTCGAAATTGAACCGTATGTCAATAAATGTGAACAAAGTGCTAATTAAATTCTAACAAAGTCATTAAATTTCATTACAATTCGATAAGCAGAGAAAAATGCATAATGGCGCGTAATAAGTTGCAAAAACTTGAATGTGAAGAGGACAACAGATCCTATTGGCATTTCAAAAAATGTATTTGATTGTTTTGAAGTATAAAATAATTATTCGAGCAATATCGTATGCAATTCTCGAATATTAATGTTAATTAGAGATTCAAATTATTCGTTAATAAGCGAGATAAAAAATGAAAAAGTTGAAAGAAGTGAATATGAAGCAAAGTTAGGAGAAGTACTCGCTAAAAGCTTTTTTGTCAAAAGGTACAACAATCTTTTATATGGAAGAGATTTTGTAAACAATGAATTTCGTGCCCACTGATAAACAGAAAGCACTGATCACATTACTTACTAAGTTTCTTAAAAAATTTCTTTTGTTTTACTCGTGATAACAAAACATACGGAAAAGACAATGAGACGAAGCTGCTGTCAACAGTGACAACAATTCATCCTTGAATACTAACTTGGTTACACTACAGCAGAAAGAAAGCTGCATTTCCTTCGATATAGAGTACTCATAGCATAAAAACAGAACGAATACCAAATATATCACAGCAGAATAATAATATTTATAGATTAATTTTTTTTTTTTAATTAATTTTTTTCATTAATTTAATTTCTCTAAATCATTCACCAAAAGTTCTTAGTGGTGACCAAAGTTACAATACGATTCAAGATCTTATTAGTTTCAATTTTAGAAATTCAAAATTCATAACATTATGAGAAACATTATAATTAACAGAAAAAATTCACTGATAATTTCAGTAATCATATGTATTCATTTCAATAGATGTGTTGAAATATTTCCTAATTAACGAGTAAATAATTCTTTGGCTTTAGTACTTAATTGATTAATTAATTGATTAGAGTCTTCTATTATTTGCAATTGGACATCTAATGATGACCTCGTAGAAGGAGCATCAGTTTGTTAAAACGACCTAAATTTGCTATCAGATCAATGCAAGCTCTAATCATTACCATTTCTAATGGGGACGATCAGTTACAGTTTCATCATCACAATTGTTCTTGAAATTGTCATCCACTGTTCATGTATTTTTTTAATTCTATGATATATGACTAATTTCACCTATTTCATTTCAAATTTAGTCATCAATCTCGGATATTCCAAGTTACATTTAACAAAAGATTTTTAAATTATGTTCCAATTAATTCAACATGAGCCAACTTTTAAGTAGTGTCAAAATTCGATAAGTTTTAATTGCTAAAATAAGAGGCTGACTCTTTTTAAATTTTGTAAAGAATTCTTTCGTTTTAGTATTTTCGGTTTCTGGAAAAAATCCCGCATAATATCTCATATATATATATATATATATGTATAAATTTCAGACAATATTTAAATTTTCTTTCGACATAATGAATTAAAAATTTATTACGCAGATGTGGAGACGAATGAAGAGAAAGGAAGCAGATGCCTTAAAGAATGTTTGAAATCGATTCTGAAATTTGAACGTTCCTTCACTTTTCAATTTGAAAATTTTGAAAAAGTTAGCTTTGCAAACAAACGATTTTTTGTCAAATATAAACGATAGACTGATTGGAAATTTAAATTAAATGAAATTTGAATTATAATGCAAGTTTAGATCGAATTTTTTTATTTAATAAAAATTTTATTGTAAGCTTTTCTAAGTACTAAAAGTTTTGAAGTTTATTCTATTATAACGTTAGTTAATTTTGGGTATTCTGTTTAAATTTAGTGGTTTCTAGATATGTGAAAAACTTGAATCGGCGGCATTGTGTAGCCAAAAATGCAGTCCACCTGATCAATACCGTTTTTATCATTATACAACTTTTTATCGTCTGCACTGCATTGATTTTTATGAAGGTTATTTCAATTCAAAATCAAATCAGAATTGCTATCATTACTTGCAGTTCTTATTTTGTGAACTAAAAGAAGTTCCTCTCAATTCTTTTTAAAAAGTTTGAAATCATAATTTATGTGATTGTTTTTCAGTGTTAATTGATTTTCGAAAGAATTTCTAGAAACAGCTCTTCCATTTTCACTTTATTTTTAATTTAAACATTTTACTATAATAAGAACAATCATGAATTATTTAAATGAAGTCATTATCATACCAAAATTATTAAAATATGTTGATTAGAGTATGTACAACATACTGAAAAGTTTGTTAAAATTATTTTCAATTTCTCTTTGTTACAGAGCTTGAAAATCAGCTTAATTGTCTGAAAAAAGCATCACCAGATGTGGACAAAAGTAAGTTTGTAGTTTTCGATTTGATTAATTTTTGGTATTAAGATAATTTGTTCTTCATGAATAGTTTGGGTCAAGAAATTTTCAAGATATTGGTTTCTATTCAATTTGTTTCCATAATTGTTTAGCAAGAGAAAGTGGAAAAATATAAAATTTCGGATCATGGAAATTTGAAAGAGAAATAATTTTAAATGTTTTGGTTGAAAAAGATATTTATTTTAAATTTTAAATTTCACGACTGCATCCTTCTCTGCCAGCACTGTTTCAGAATAATTTAAAAGACAAAAATTTGATTCACTATGCCGTCTTTGTTATACATTATCACTTCAGTTTGCAATGAACGATGTACATTTAACAACGACAAACCCAGCAACAATGGAAATCAAATCAAAATTCACTGCAAGTTGGAAACTGATGTTTTTATATTTATCGATTTAATTTCTGACTTGCAAGCAATTTATCCCTTTCGAACATCCAATCTCGCAAGCTCTTTAATTCTCATTTATAGCACTTTTCAACGCACTGTTGCCACAAACAAAGATCTGAACTTTTTTTAAAGCTTTTCATCAAATCGCTCCTATAATGTGAATCATTGAGACTGGTTAACCAGATCGGAAGGCCGGATAGCTATTAAAGTGTCGATACATCCATCACAATAATAATAAGGAAGCTGTCAAATGATTATCTTCTCAGCGTATTGCTCAGAAATTTAATATGCCCTAATACTAATCAAATATTATCTCTAAGATAATATTTGATTAGTATAGAATGGATGGTAATAAAAATTAAATCAATAGTAATGATAAAATAGACAAAGGAAAGAATAATATCTCCCCTCGATTAATTGAGAACGAATTTTATGGAATACCTCAAAAGTAGAGCCAGTAATATACTGTTTTTCAACATATTTCTCGAGGCATGAGAAGCAGGAGAGTTTATATGGCATTATGTCTTTGGTGAAATTCGGTAATCTTAGTAAACTAACCAATTAAATAGTCAGTCAAATAATAACATAATAGAAAAGATAAAGTTCATTGATACAAAAATAAAGGTTCAAAAGTTGATAATGTCCCACTTTTTCAGAACTTTGGAGTGTTCTCTGATTTGTTATTATAAGACATTTACCAGTGCCTGTCCTGAAACGAGTAACACCCTTTTGGTGAGCACTTTTAATTTTATATTTATTTACTCACTTTTTCAGGAAACCAATGTCTTCTAAAAGCTTACAACGTTTGAAAGTTTTAAAAAATAATTAGGTTTCAGAAAATTGAACTTTAAAAAAAGAATTTGATTGAGTTTCAAAACATGAATTCAGCGTTTGAGCACACGGCAAATTCATGACATGCGATTATTCACACGATCGGACAGTCCATTAAACATGGAAACTGAATGTCGCCAACTACATGATGAAAATAAGATGAAGCAAAAAATGCTCGAGGCATGAACATGATAGCGATGAAATATGTTTAAAAGTACTGCTAAAAAAGTGGAAATAACTAATTACTCTATTTTTTAAAACTAGTAATGAAAAATTACCTAGCATAAAACACCGTCTTTATTCAGTTTCAATGGCCTTAAATGGCTTTTAACAACTAAAGAAAGCCTTTTAGTTAAAATAAAGTTAATTTTGTCATTTTTTGTTTGCAACATAATTCTCATCTAGAAAAATGATGCTATCTTTCTTTCGTTGATTTCGTTTCAAATATTCACTTTCAAAATTATGACGCTCTGTTGAATCCATTCACAGATCGATCCCCGAAAACTGATATTTGAAAAGATGTTTTCATTAACTGAATTTTTCTCTTATAGTGAAAACCCATTCGCTTTTTTTCCACTCAGTTGTTATTTATTTTTATTTTTGCACAGTATGTATTACTTTTATTATACATTTCTCGATTTAAATAAAGCTAATATGTATTACTTTTTAACCAATTCATTTAAAAAATCTAAAAATCCATGTAAAATGTCTGGAATGAATATTCCAAATTTATGGCTTTTTTGCTTAGCCATACAGGTCAAACAAATAAATCACTGCACAAATCGACTGTAGTATCCGGTAGATCGTGGCGGACAGGGGCAATAAGCGGCGTCATTTCCAGAAAGACCTTTTCTACCAGGTGCTCCCGGAAGTCCGTTCATTCCCGGCCGACCTGGCATACCAATAGGTCCTGGTGGTCCTACTGGTCCTGGTATTCCATTATTTCCTCGCTGTCCATCCGGTCCAGGTTCCCCTTGAGACCCTGGTAAGCCTGATATTCCTTCTGGTCCTGCTTTTCCTCTTCCACGCAATCCGTCTTGGCCTGGTGGACCACGCGGACCAACAACACCAGGCGATCCTGGTAAACCAGCATCACCACATGGCCCTGGTAGTCCTGGTAGTCCAGTAAGACCCGGATGTCCTGGCTGTCCTGGAATTCCAGCTGGACCTTCGGAACCTCTTGGTCCATTTGATCCGGGTAAACCAAGGGGGCCAGCCGGACATTTGACGCAAGGCACATCTTGTGGCGGACAAGTTACTGATGGGTAGATTACCGTATTGTCTTCTCCGGGTAATCCAGGCAAACCCGGCTCTGAAAAAGTGATCACTGAATCTGAGTGAAATTTCTCTTTCTACATGATAAATTCAGAGTACTTGTAATACAGGAACAATAACGAAAAAACATACGTCCTTTCTGGCCGAATGGACCAGGAGGTCCCGGTAGTCCGGGAGGACAAACTGCTTTCGGTAATTCACATATGCAATAGGATGGCAAGTTGGAGAACATATGACGTTTTTGTCGAAATATACTACTGAATGGATTATCGCGTTGTTGGCTAGGCGGACTAAGACTGATTTGGATATTCATTATTTCCGACCAGGCTGAATCGATTTCGGCGCGGAACATCTATATATATTAAAAGAATTATCAAAATTTTCTGTAGTAGAAAGAGTTCTTTCAGAATTTCATCTAAAGTTCTTAGTTAAAAACTTACAAATAGCTCATATCATAATATCCACACTTTTATTTGTTTCATTCTATAGAACGATATATGAAAAAGTAGCATTCTAAGAAAAAAGTTCGCGATAAGAAAATTACACTGCGAAATAATTAAAACATCAAATGTCTGTTTGTTCCACAACTCAGTCTTAATAATTTCATGAAATCGGGACTGAGTGGTTTTGGAAGTAATTTTCTGGTTCTCACGAAAAGCATTACCTGTAAAATTATTGATTCCATTAACTATTATGAATGCGTATTTTTTTTAATACGTAGCCAATGCTAGTACGCAATGTTGAGAACAATAATAAAACACTTTCTCTATTTCTCTTTTTTTGAAAGTGTCTTTTGTTCTTTTTATTCAACCTAACACAATATTTTATTACCTCGTGATTCTGTTTCTTCTTTTAAATAAATTTTTACTTCTTAAATATTCTGCATCCCACATAAAATGTCTCAGAAACTTTATACAGATTATCAGTATTATTACTATTTGCAGTAAGTTTTATAATTGAAAAAGTGCTTTCAGATCCTACTTGCATTCAGAACGTCAGTTGTTCCAGTGCAGATTACTCAATCGATTTTCAGAACAAAATGATGTCAATTTCTCGTATTTATTCTCTTAACTTAAATAAGAATTTTCCACTTTTACATATAATAAATAGATTAATACATTCGTTCTTGTAGATAAAATATGTAAAACAAATTGTAAATTATCTTGAAAGTGATTAAAAATTGTGTTGTTCTCATCAAAGCAGAAATTTGAATTACTTTTATCACTGGTTCTAAAAAAAGTTACTAAGTGTCAAAGAAGTCTAACTATAAAACTAAATATTCCTATCAGCATTATGAATAAAAAAGAAAAAATCAGTGTAATTTCAATTATCCGGGTAAATTTACATTCCCAAAAAGATGAATTAAATCTCCTGCATAAGAATGCTTCGGAATAATGATCAATGGTGACAATGGTGTCCCAACAAACTTCTCTTTTTTGTTTTCATGACTTTCACTAATTTTTTTTAAAACTTTTTGAAATTCAAAACATTTATTTTTGAGATAACTGTAAGTATTAAAAAAGTGCTGGTTGGAAAATAATAAAACAGGGAATTTTACGAGAGATTAAGAGCTGGAGAAGTATAAACTTTGAGGTGCAATTTATGAGATGTTAAATAGAAATGGAAACTTAATTATAAAAATTACAAAAAAGGGACTAAAAAGTAAAGATTAATGGAAACAGTAGCAAAGTACCATAATATATTCTTTGATATAAGAAGCGGATAATAATTAAAAAATGCAGTTAGCAAATGCTAACTGCATTTTTTAAGACAATCAAATTTTCACTGGACAAAGAATAGCTACGAAGCAATTCATTCAGTATTAAAACCTCAAAAACACTTTTGATTATCACCAGTTGTCTCCACTTTGATTCATTCATTACTCGTTTAATTACAATCAATTTTGTAAATCAGGGAGCATAGTTAAATTAGGAAACAACAACTGTAATGAAGAAGTAATCCCTCTACTCTTATCCTTCTTGGGTTAAAAGTAGAGGGATTATTCATCCAATCAGATTGGAGTGATTAAAATAAAAGGCAAAACACTTTCAAATCCTAGGATTCATAGTTCAGCTTCAGTTACCTTTTCTCAGATATTCAAAGAAGTACAATTAAATACCTGTATCTCGTCTAACACTTCATCGCCAATTTCTTTTATTATCATGTATGCGGAACTGATCACAACCAAACACGCAGTAATTGCAAATGCGCTACAGCCAGATGCTGCAAATAACACAATTTTTGCTTCGTGCATTTTATAAAATAGAAATGCAGAATGATTGAGAATATTGCGGTCATATTTATACATTCATTTAGTTCACTCTCAAAACGGGCCGGGTTTTATCCGCAACGTCAATCCCGATAACTGCAATATAACAAAGAAAGTCTTCCGTTATAAAGATAATAATATCTACAACCGGGATTTTAATTCGATAGAACGGACCATAGAACCGGTTTCACGTTTCTGAATAGTGAAAGAATCTGCAGGGTAGATATCACACTGTTCTCCCTCTTCCATTCTCTAATCGAAATAGAGATTCCATTACCTTAGTGAACCAACTTCTTGCACTTCACCAACATCGAGTGTCTAAAATTTGAAAAGTGCTCAGACTGGTTAACAGGTACGCATCCTTAGTTCTTGTGAAGCTCAGAAATAAAGCGAACTATTCCACACACTATCCTGTTTCTTTTTTCCTCCGGTTAGATATTCTATCCTGAAACCAATAAAAAGAGAATTTCATTGCCTCTTGAATGCTTTTTTAGAAGAAAATTTATCATCTACTAACTTCGTCCATAGTCTACCAATTTCGTCCGTAAAAATTTTCAACATATTGCATATTTACATAAAAACTGAACTTAATTCTTTCAAAAAATTATTTTTGATTAATTACAATCCTCACTACTGCAACATGATACGAGGGCATGGATAATGTAAAGAAATAATTGCCAGATTAAGTTACTGTAATCAAAACCAAACATCTTCACAACTAGCTGAAATATAAATGTGTTATTCCTAAAACTGCTTGATAATTTTCCATCATTTCTACACTTCTCGTACTTTTACACTTTTAAAAATTACAAACGCTGTCAATCTTTTCTGAAAACCATATTATTTTAAAAACGTCAAAAGCTTTAAGCAATCATCAACAGTGATAACTTCTATTCTTTTAACAATAATGAATTTTTCAAGCAATGAGATACTCAATATCAGAAAATGACATTGCTTTTTGCAAATATTTGATCTATTATGAATCCATACCGAAGTCGATTAAATTTAAATTTTTGCAACAAGTGTCATCACATTCTTTAGCATATTAGCCTGATATGCATTTTACAGATGACGCAGTCAGCGATCTTCATGTAAACACCGTTCGTGAAACTTGGAGTTGGCTGTTACTTATATCTTAGACTTTTCTTGATCAACAGTCTTCCTTGTTTGTTATCATAGTTGGTATAGACGAATGTGTTAAGTGAAAGGTCTATTATAATGATTTTATTGGCTAGTAATCACAATACGTACATAGATATTAATCTATAGCAACAATACACTGATAATTTCGTAGGGTACCTATTAATGAGATGAAGAAAATGAATGAATTGATGAGGGAGTTAAGGAATTTAAATGAATTGAATTAAATGAGTGCGGGAGAACAGCTGAATTATAACGTTCTGCTAGAAAATTCATGAAGACAAAGAATTTAAATCTTTAAATCCTTATATGGTTGACTTGTAAAAGGTGCATGGTTACATTGAGTAAAGAGCTATAAGATGATCTTTAATCTTTATATAGTAAGACATGATTTAATATTGTCAATTCCTCCACGATTGATTATTACGTTAGAAAACCTTTGCAATATTTGAACACTGTAAACAAATTTGGTTTGCAACAAAGGAGTAAATTTTAAGATATTAAAGAATGCACATGCGTGCCCTTTGTTAATAGTTAAATATTTTTAGATAAGCAGCAGATAAAATAAACTGCGATGGAAGATGAGTGTTGGGATAATGATTGCTTACGTGAGATGCAATTTGAAACAGTTTTATATTTCTTTAGAGAAAGTTCAATTAAGATAAATTTTAATATTATGGGTTGGTGCAATTTTATTTAATATGTTTTTGTAAGTTATTTAGAAGGTTCGCGAAACTTATTTCAAGTTTCGCGACGACGATAATGTGATGATGTAGAATCTTACGAAGAGACGAGTACTGCACAGGAGATTACTTGCATAATTATGATCATAAGGATCTAAATAAGTAACATACATTTAATAGAGAGGAAAGAGTAGAGTGACAAGATTGTTTTGGAGCCATGCCCTAATCTAGTCAAGAAAATCTCGAGAGTTCCATTATTCTTGGCGACTATCATGGACAATCCGAAAGTAGGACTCTAGTCGCATAATTAGTTTCAATAAAATTATGGTAGTTGATGGTTATTCGTTATGTCATAATAGTGTGATAACAATTTGGCAGCCATTGTAAGGGCTCCTTGTTTACCTATTTTACCAAAACATAAAACCCTGCAAGTTATTTAAAATTTACTGCATACTTTCTTGTATTCTTAAATGGCTCGAACCTTGAATTCCACAACATTGTACAATGCTATGCTCGAAATTGTAACTGTAACAATGTAAGTAATGAAGCACTTATCTTTCCAAGTTTTTGAATCCTTAGTCCAATTTCCCGATATCCCAATCAGAGGTGTTTATCAAATTTCATATGTTTTGGATCTTCTTACAACAGAAACGTTTGGAAAAAATTTCGATTCTTTCATCCACAAATATCGGAACATTTAATGTTTTAAATGATTCCTTTTAAAGATAAATATGATCTGAGGGATAATGAGAGAAAACGAAGATAATAGGTCGGTTAATCACACAAAAAGTTACCAATTTGTTTATAAAAGTATGAGAAACATATACATATATGCGATATATCATTGCAAAATATATTTTGACAGATAGCGAAAGGAATGAAAGGTAAAATATCGAAAATACTACTAAAACTATCAGTTTTTAACAAATTTAGTAGTAGAGCAACAAATTCTACATCCCATAGAAAAATAAAGAAAATTTAAATTTTGATTCGAGATGTCAAAATGTATGGAAATGAAACTACCAAACACTAAGAGGCATCCTGAAATACATGTCTGGCTGTTGACTTTAAAATGTAGACGCTATTTCCTGGAAAATTGAGCATGTTTCTGTTGAAAGACAACGTGTACACACACACACACACACACACACACACACAAATACACACACACACACACACACACATACACACACACACACACACACACACACACACACACACACATACACACACACACACACACAAATACACACACACACACACACACACATACACACACACACACATACACACACACACACATACACATACACACACACACACATACACACACACACACACACACACACACACACACACATACACACACACACACACACACACACATACACACACACACACACACACATACACACACACACACACACACACACACACACACACACACACACATACACACACACACACACACACATACACACACACACATACACACACACACATACACAATACCAAAGCATATAACTGTTCCAGCAAATCTCATAGCACCAATCACTTCACTACATCCACTTTCCCTTGCTTCCGAACATAAGTGCTACTCTTCTCAGCGCCGTCTTACGCACGTGAAAGTTACCGCGTGAACTTCTGATTCATTTCTGTTAGAGGGAAGCATAGCGGAATGATTCAACCCAAATTTCTCTCCTCGCCTCCTACTCTCATCACTAGATAAAGTCACTACCCATCCCTGTGTCTCCTAAAACACACACTCTCTCTCTCTGACTGACTTGTCGTAACTCATCCAGTAATGCAAAGATATCAAACTCTGAATTTGACGTCCTTCAACGTACTGTTCTCTTCCGAGAAGCGTTTTTATCTACATTGGTTTTAATGAACTGAAGAAACTGTGAGTGTTACTTTCTCGATTTATCTTTAATCAGATTTGCAGTGTTCTCGTCAGTTGTGTGTACAACCTTTGTTGATCTGAGAGTCGAATGTTTCGAAGGATATGGCTTCAAAATGTGATGCAGTGTAGAAAGACGCTCTCTCTGGTGACATATCCTAGCGCTTTCCTTCCATCTATTGCTTATGTTTCCCAAGCACGGTTTTTGAACTTGAGTCGGTAAACATTTGAGCCGTATTTTTTTCCATTTACATATTCTCTTGAATCGTTAGGTGCATCGCAATACATTCTAAATTTCCAAAAAACACTGTTGAAGTTGTATTTTGCAGTATTAGGTAGCACTGAGATAAAGTTGTTTTTCTAAAACAAAATTTCTTAATTTAATGAGCAGAATTGCTCTCTATATGTGGATTGATGGAAAAAGAGACATTATATTTCATTAAAATAATCACTATTATTTCCAGGAATAGTAAAACCTCCACTTCTAAACATATTACAGAAGTAAAAGTGAACGAGATTAGAAATAAGCCTGGGAACAAAATTGCAACTATACCAAATGCTTTGTGCTTATTCAGGTGTGTTTCTTTCATTTGTAATTTCCATGCATTGACCTCATTTACTTTTAAAACTACTTAACCACTCATTTATTTTTATATGAAGTGTTAAACGTAACTTATGCATTTGGGAATCTACCGTACATTTATTCCCCTGCTCATCGATATATATTGAAGATGACTAATTTTTCAAACTGCGTGTAGGAGTTTGTTGCTATGTCTTATTTTCTCGGAGTAATTTTAGAATTGGAATGACTCCAGTAATTGGATATTTAATAATAAAGGAATCATACATGATTGCACTGGCTTTATTTGCTATTAGCGGAATAACGGATTGGGTTCGTTTAATTATTCTGTAATATATTTTAAAACCTAATATGTTTTAGTTGTTGCGTCTTTTGTATCTGCAACATCCGCTTCTGAACAGGAGTGAATATTTCAGTAAAAATATGAATTCTAAACCCGTAGATCTTAATTTACTTTTTTTGGTTATAATGGATAGACTGACGAAAGTTTATTTTCGTTCTCAGATCTCATCACCTCTTCATTATCAGCGAAAAGCATGGTATTGAGTTGAGTATTGAATACTCCATTTCTTTTTAATATCGTACTGTTGTGTAATCATTGTGTTATAATATGCCACTGATTTGTTAATTCTCAAATGCTTCCTTTGCAGAATTACAAAGTCGTATTCAAGATTAAAAGACATGTTAATTTCTGATAATGAATGGTTAAATTTTTTGTACGAGATTTTTTTTCGAAAAAATTTGAAAATCATTACATTTATACTCCATTTCAGTTGGATGGTTATATTGCTCGAAGCTTTTGGAGTCAAAATTCGCTGGTTGGTAGTATAATTGACCCTGTGGCTGATAAATTACTTGTTACAACCGTTTTTATTAGTCTCACTTACGTCAAACTTGTACCATGTGACTTTTCTTCCTTAATTTTATTAACATTAGTTTAATTCTTGTAACATTTTATTTAAATCTATTCTATTTACAACATTCTCAATTTTAGTGCCTCTTACTATTCTGGTGATTTTACGAGACATTGGTCTTATTGTTGGTGGAGCTGTGACCAGATACAAAACACTTGAAAAACCGGTAACATTAATCCGGTATTTTAGCCCATCTGTTTCACCACTTCAAGTCACACCAACATCTGTCAGTAAAGTTTGTATTTCTCCGCTTTTTCTTTTTTCAGCAGAAAATAATTAAGCAGGAGATTTTAATTTTTTCTTTTTTGTTTGTTAATTTGTTGTCTTTGTCTCCCATTCAAGCATTGTAAATTCAATTTTATTTTTTGTACTTAGATTTTATATTTCAGATTTTATATTTCAAACTTTTGCTTAACTTCATCTATTTTCTTTTTTGAATCCAAGTTTCTCATGTTTAACTGAGCTGATTGCATTAATTTTTTAGTAGACTTTGGTTCCAATGTTTTAATTTAATAATACAAGTTTCATTCTTTATCTTTCTTAACTATGATAAAATTTGAGCAAGTTTAGGTGAATACGGCACTTCAGATGTGCACAATCGCTGGAAGCCTAGTATCTTCTATATTAGGCTTTACGAATCATCTTTTTCTAACACATATCTAGTGAGTCGGTTTTGTCATTTATGATTATTTGCAAAAAAAATAAGCCTAGTCAAAATTTTTCGCATTTGCTTTTGCCATTTACTTATCATTTTAAGCAGATGACAAAATACGTTTTAGCTTTGCTACTGCCGCAACAACGATCTATTCTGGATTCCAGTACGCACGGCTGACCAGGATGAAGCCAGTAAAGAAGGAATAATAGTCAGTGAACTTTTGGATATTTTCACATTTTAGGTTTTCTTTATTTCTAGATTTTAATTAATACAGAATAGTATCGCTTGATAAATATCCAAAACCAAATATTAGCTGCATGAAGTCCTAAATATTAAAAACTTTTTATCTTTTCTTGCGAACGGACGGATTTTGTATTAGTTTATTATGAGATTTAATTGCATAATTTTTTTTGCTTGAGAAATATAGATTTGATGACTAGCTGTAAAATACAACTTGTAATATGTGACGTGCTTGATGATCTTTGTTATTGGATATTATTGTCAACTTAAAATGAATAAAATTCCAAAATTTTGTCGACATTTTGGGATCATTTTACTTACAGAACTTTTATCTTTGTGTGGATGAGAATTCGATGTCTAAAGTAATACAAGAATGGTATGATCGCGATGAATTTTTAAGAAAATTGTTTTCTACATGATCTGTTACTTGTTTTTCAGAAGTTAATGTTTCCATTATTCTGAACTGAATGTTAATTGAGTTTGATTTTTATTTGATAGACCTGTCATGGAAATGCTTATGCTTTGAGAATAATTATTCCATTACCATAGTCCCGTAAAATATTAAGAGTGTACCATATTTGATGACACGTGATAGACAGACAGCTGATAGTGCTGTCATCTTATGCTTTCACGTTTCAAGAATGGCTCTAGCGCATAGATTTGCCGATTCCTTTGATAGTTCGTGGAAGTGATATAATCACTTTTCAAATGAACTCTACTATTAATAAAGAGATATATCTCGGCTTGCTCAGTTTTTTCTCTTGAAAAAAATTTTTTTTTTTTTGGGACAGCCATTTCATTATTTGCTTTGTTGTCAAATTGTTGTTTGAAATAAAAAAATTTAAGTTCGGAAATGTTCCTTCTGATGCTTTTGTCAGTTCATAGTTATTAAATTTTTATTAATTTCGACTTATTTCAAAAGAGTCTTAGGAAAAATGAGATGCGATTCATAGTTATTAATATGCGTTTTTACTGCCTTACTACTCTAACTCAGTAATAGTTATGTAGGAATTTTTGAATTAAGGAAATAAAATGGAATTCTTGTTACATAAAGATTTTATAATTGGTGGATGAAAATACATTAAGGACACAGTAATGAAATTGGATTTCTTGGCTATAATTTCATGCTATGTAAATTCCAATTTTTATCAGAATTACGACGGATATTTGCACACTGTGTTTTACTTCACTTTTTTTGACATCTATTAAGAAATGCTAATTACCGATCTTTTGTTTAGCTAGAATGAAATGCAGAGAAAAATGAACTTCGAAACTAACAAGTACAATAAATCAAAGAAGGACACATTAATGAATGGGAACAAATGAATAATTGGCGCTAATTAGGGAATCTTTAAAGTGATTATTGTCTCGACCAAGATGAAAACGTGTTCTGTAATCCAGTTTTTCTGTTAATCTTTCTCCTATACCGTAATTTGATTCTACATCGCAACCTTGGTTTTGATTTTGTTCGGAGCTTAATTGTATAAATGATTTTTGGAAATTTTAAAATTCCTTCTTTCAAAATTAAGGTTTTTTACACCTTATAGATTACTAATTTATCATTTTGTAACCATATGCTTTGGCAGAATCAACCTACTGATGACTTTGAGTGAGAAATTAGGAAAAAAATTGAAATGGAATAGACAATACTAATTAAGCACAACACTATTTGAGAAGTAACTGAGTATAATTCATTCACTTAATTTGCGATCTTCCTCCAAAAGAATAAACTGTTTGAGAATTGGATTGCCTGTTTTTTAAATTCAACACTTTAACAAAGAAATTAAGTGAAGAAGAGGATGTAATGTTATGTACGGATGAGTATTATCACGGATTTAATGTTGATCAATCTCACAGTGTTGTTGGACAATCTCAATTCCCGTTGCATTGTTGCATGAAGTGGCACTAAGCGTCCGATGGGTGAAGCTGCATTGAATAGGAAACTCGTTGTGCAGTCATTTCAATGTTTACTTATTCAATCCCTTCATTTCTCCTTGTTTCCACTGATCAGCTGTTCTGACACGTTAGTTAATTTAATTTTACTTTATTACATCATTATGATCAATTATCGTTGTAAGTTTTGTAACAATTCATACGTTTAGTGCATTTATTCACTTGCTAATTTGTGTCGTTGAGTCATAACTGTCGTCAGAAAGATTATGAAAAATGACATTATAACTATCGGATGTGAAGCTCACATGTTTTGAAAGTAGCATGAAGAATGGCTGTAGCTGTATCCAGTGATATTTAATAACATGCATTTATTGTGCTGGAGACAGAATTATCTTATACATATACTTTCAGTGTGTATTTACTAAACTCACTGATGAATGAAATCTTTCAAATGGTTTATTTGATAATGTCGATAGTAATTTAAACTTAATAAGCAGTTAATTATTTCAAAAAATGAACACTTTGAAGAATTTAAATTCCTTTTACTGCCACATTTGTTCTAAATTTTTATTTCAGCAAATCAACGTAGATCACTACTTTCTGGGAAATGTTTTATGATTCTTTACAACTACCAGAAATTCTACATATGTGTTGGCTGTTTATAAAATGCTTGGTGAATTGTATGCAGAGTGTTAATGTTGTAATATTCAAAAAAAAATCGAAAAATATGTTCAGCAGTCATTTAGCGATTTCGAATTGAGCTAAAATAGGTCATTATTTCAACTTTCCGTAGCAATCAATTTTTAGCTCAAATTTAATAGCATGAATGCTTCTAAATGTAATGAAAGTATTGATCATGTATATCTATTATAGTAAGTACTGTTCCGAGTAGTTAAAATAAAGTTCTTTCTTCCCATTACTAATGGAAATGCTAAAGAGAATTTCTTATCTTTATCAAAAAACCGTGTTGATTTACCTTATCCGATGCTGTCAATCAGACATTGTTGCAACCATTTTTGAAAGCAGAACACATCACACACACTTATTTCTATCCGAATTCAATGGTTTCACAGACTAACAACTTGCTGGTTGTACTGAAAAGAATGAGAAAAATATAATAGGACTAAAATGATAGATTCAGGTACTGCTTGCAAATAGATGCAAAGATGATTGGTTTCAAAAGTTAAACTGATAGAGAATCATGTTGCCATCTATTTATTTACAAGAGCAATTCTGAAGGTAAAGGAAGAAAGTGCTGGATTTTTATCAATATATGTAGATGTTCGAAAAAGAAGTATAGTGGAGAAGGTGAAAAGAAAAAAGAGATGCCGAGAAAGTGAGAATACCGAATTGGTGGTGCTCTTGCTGTAATTCCGGGATTACTGCAATAATGTGATTTTAAAGAGGGCAAAAGACAATAAAGTGATGTAGTCATTACTAGTTTTTTGAATTTCAGCGAAAAGAAAGAAAATTTTGTAAGGACTCTTCCATATGTATCACAAAGATTCATATGTTTGTCTTTTTTTGGAAACTTTTTCATAATTTTGTTACAATTGGAATAAAGCAATTATTTTTACCATTGTAAATAATCTACTTTATGTTGATATTTTCGCATTTTCAGTTTTTAGCAAACCAATAAATTTTGTTTCAATTTTTTAATCAAATGGTCAATTGTAAAAGTTTCGTTCTTACTTTCTCTTTTTCTAAATACATGCTTTGAAAATTTTCGGCTCATTCTATAACGATCCTAAGTAAAAATGCGCCATGAGAAAACTAAAGAGCATTTATTCAACAACAAATAATGTGACAAATAATTAGATTTTAATCGTTAGCTCCATTTTTAAAATCCATTATTTAAATATTCTTTGAATTATTTTGCTGTCTATACGTATAATCAGCGTGTGCTTTGTCTAGTCACTAGTTTTAAACTGCAGTCTAATTTAGAAATAATCTTTATGATGTGATGAATTTGATCTTGTCGATCTACCATTAAATTTCATGAAATGCATTATATTACATTTCAAAAATTTGCTTTTCTAGAATTCAAATCAAAAAGATAAGTGACATCATTTTATAATGCGATTGAATGGCGCATTAATTTCTGCACAATTATGGCTTATTATTGCTACTCAAAATACGAATGAATATGATGAGAAAGGTCTAGCAATGATTCCAGAGATAAATTTTCTCTCAGTGCGCCAAAAAACATTATCAACTTCGTTTTCTTCTAATAATTTGACGCAACATCCACACCAACAACATGATGAACGTCGTTCACTGAAGGATCGGAATCGCAGATTTCAACATTATCAACAAAGAAAAGGTTTATTTTACCTTAATTGAAATTATTTTTATGGAAACACAATTAGTTAAAAATGTTGCGAGAATTTTTGAAATAGAAATTTTTATGGTTATTTATGGTGTTATTTTCATTGACTTTTTGAAGTTACAGAGTAAGGCTGTTTTGGTTTTATTTTAGCAAAACGTGCCCTAAATGTTTTTCCTTACTTTATAAGATCACAAATTTTAACTAATTTAATTAAAAGTAAAGTGCAACAACTATGGAGCAAAATTTAATTTTTTAATTCTATTAATTCATTTAAAAGTTTTCGAGTCTTTGATCATAGTAACATTTAACAGAACTTCAAGTATTCATCTTTTTGAACAAAATATTTTAAGTAATTATCCAATAAAAAATTAAGAAAAACGTCGAATCAGCAAAAGAAAATGGGATGAATTCTATTCATAAATCCAACAAAGAACTGATCAAAAATGCATCTAACATTCATAAACCAAATTATAATTTTGCTTTTCGAACTTTATAGTTTATATATTTCATCATTCATTAAATAGGAGAAACATCGATGAACAAACTATCAGATGATATGGAAAGTACTGTCGCAGAGCCACTTATCAGATTCCCTGTTGTGACGTTTGTTCAGACATATGCTAGCAACGACACACGACTGATTCCTCCGGTAAACAGTAGCACCCTCCAAAATATCGCATTTCCTGTTTTGCCAAACAGTGGTACTTTCTTATCACTTTATTACCGTATCATTATTTCATTTCA